TTTTCCTCCAAGCACTTGTTTACCCTGGCCTGGGATTGCCTTGCACTTTGAGTAACGCTTGCGAGGTGTTTTTTCGTAGTCGGTCTGAATTTATGCCAGTTGGGAACCGAAATGCCAGAAATGCTGCCCTAGGAAAGTTTCTCTCTTTTGGCTCCCTCTCTTTTGGCTCTCTGCCGTGTCCCAAGAGCAGAAAGGAAAGTTCAGTACCACTGAAGCTCCATCCAGGAACAGCGTTTGTGCCAGAGAAAATGAGCACCATAAGCATCATTAAAATGCACTTCATCAGCCCAGACCTTGCATAAATTATTGTGTAAAATAAATCTTTTTAATTCATTCTTAATTCTGTTGCCTAAATAACACACAATGATTATGATGCTGTGGCTGTGGGGGGGGGGGGGTTATAGAGCATATGAACTTTTGATTGCATAGGGTTCAGCTTTGGACTGACTTTCAAATGTTTCCCATTACACTTACAACATATCTTTTTTTCCATTCCACACGATTAGTATGTCAGGTCTTAAGTGCAAGGGTTGTTCCTTGAGGCCAACAGGAATACTGGAGTTTGAACTGTGTTTTTACTCTTAGTGTAATTGGCTACTTCTAAGAGGACAACTAAATTAGACACACTATAGTTGATAAACGGTATCCATTTAGGAAAGAAAAATACAAGGCTCTCAGTAGAAAAGCAGATAATGATAGAGCACCACAGAGGGGCTTATCTAGCCTGTAAATATTTTTAAACTAGAGCTGAATATTGCAAAAATAAGGGCATTGGACTGTACCTTAAAAATCCTGACATTTGGGAATGTCAATTTATGCTAATGGCATTAAAACTAATGGGGAAATTTGACACAGATAATGGCTTCCAACAGTAATTTTTATAAAGTCATTGACAAAATTCTTGCTAGTTTCAACATGAAAAGAACTAAGTGAAACATTAGTAACATCTCCAAGAAGGGCAAATAAATACTGCAGAGAACAGTGGAAATTGTCTTACAGTTTTACCATGGACTTTTGGGGGGAGAGAATGGGGAAGATTTTACTGTTCTTAAGTAATGAAGCACCTCTGGAGACATACAGTATAAATGTAGGCAGAAGTATTTTTTCTTTGCAATAGAAGACAAACTAGAATTTTGTCTAGACAAACTTAGAGTTTCATTTTTAATAACCTTATTTACATTTGCTTCACTGCTGAATGATACATTGCATTCATTCAGCCAGAAAACTTGTCCAGCACATCCGGACATTCATTCCAGTGGAACATGTTGTTTGCATCACATGTGTGCATGCTCGCTCGCTCTTCAGCAAGAGCCCAGCCAGTCAGAGGCTGGAAGATGCAGGGGGAGTGGGTGGCTGTCTAGTTCTGGCTATGAAGGGAATGTTGTGATTTGAACATACACTGCAAATTTCATTTTTTCAATGGCAGTGGGGTGCGTTCTCAGCTTTGTGGCTTCAAGTTACAAATTGAGCTCAATACTATTGAGCAATAAACAGTATTTTGAAGTTGTTTTACATAATACTGCTCAATAGGTCATGGGAAGTGTAATTTCAGGCTATAGATAAGCAATGAGAAACACCTGTTGACTTCACTAAGATCTATACTACTTACTGTGATCAACCTACTGTATTTTATGTAAGCATAGACTTTTTGAAGACAATAGGGGGAGGTTTTCTGCAGCATTTTTCTATGCATTTTCCTTTTCCTCTGACACTCAGTTTGTCCCTGTGTCACAGAGTAAGGATGTTGCCTCAAGCCTTGTGTAGGTAAGGATATATGTAAAGTAAATGGAAGTTTACCGTAGCTCAAAAAAAAAAAAACCCATATACAAGGAATTCATTGTTAATAGAGCATTATTAGGGGAGGAAACCCTATTATATAACAAGAAAAGCAAAGTCAGAGACTGAAAGAGTATTGTAGTAAATCAGGTTAAATATCAACCAATAAGATACCACTGTGCATCTGATTCAAATTTGGCTGACAGAAGTCTGCCACTGAATTCAAAGTAATTTGGATGAGACTGGGGAATAGGATACCTCTTTGCACACATACAAGAAAAAAGTCTTTAAGTAGTTAAAAGTAGAAAGGAATAGCTAATAAATATCTTGGTTAAATTTGTGTGGAGGATTTGAAATAATAACCAAATCAACTGTTTCTTGAGTTCATTGAAGTCTATGCAAAGGATAGAAATGTTGAATTGTTGGTCTATAGGAGGTAGGAGGGATGACTATAATAATGTGCATGTTGGGAAGTAGATGTACCTTGATGAAAGTGTTGTATATATCTTGTCAATCAAATGACAAAGCTGTAGATGTGTTAATACTTACTATTTGTGGATCCGCACCTATAGGTAAATGATACCTGACAAAACACTGTCAGTGCGCAGTAATTGTCCAGATGATTTTCTAGACTTAAAGTGGGAAAAACAGAGGCAATGAAAGTCTGTGTGCATACTAGTACAGCAACATTTTTTAAAAGAATAAGGTAGGAAAAAAGTATGAGGAAAAAGTGAGTTTTAAGAAGGGCTTGAAGGAATAGATACATAGTGTGATAGAATGGGTTAAATAAGTAAGGAAGGAATTCTGTCGTATTTTACATGTGGAAATTTTGAACAATGACTGTAGACACAGGGCATGCTCCAGAGGAGTATTTGCATGCTAGTTTGTGTTTGGCCTGCAAATGATAATGTTTGGTTCTCCCCCAAAGGGCTAATTAAGAAACACATCAAAATACTATGTAGAATAAATGATTTTTGAGGATTTCCCATTACTCACCTAATGAAAGAATATTTTTTTTCTAGAGAGATGTGACAATCTCTGTTGCAGACTGAGGAGCAGCATGGTGGTTTTTGGGTTTGTGGAAGATTGAATAAAGAGTGAGTCAGAACAAGGAGGGTGGGGTAGTCTTTGTCTCCCATCCTCAGATCAGTCTTCTGCTGCTTATGAGTCACATGTAAACTCTATACAATAAAGTTGTAGGTTGACACTATAAAGCTTGGAAGATGCTTGCACAATTAATATTCCTCATCATATATGATTTATAAATATCATATAACTTGTATTTCGAACAGGCTGAAAACATGAGGATGAAGCCTAACATCAGCAGTATATTAATAAAGGAATACAACAGGAATGTTACTTAAGGGTTCTTACAGAGAAAAGAGAAGGAAAAATCCTGGTCTGCCGCATTACCACGTGGCGTTACAGAGTTAATTAAATTTAGTCTGTATGGATGCATTACCTAGGTGGGTGAGGCAATTTAACAGCTCACTGTGGCTGAAATAGTCCTACTTTTTTCCTCCACTTCTCCCTTTCAGCTTTCTCCTTGACTCAGACTTCATCTTCCTACTGGTTTGTTTGTACCAGCTCTGGCCCTTGTCAGACCCTTAAACCGAATTAACTCAGCTAGCAGAAAACTAATGCCCACCACAAGTACAGTTTTTTCCAGAACAGAAAGTTGAATTGTCTGCACAAAGGGTCTCAGAAGTGCCATAGATGGGAGAAGGGAGATGGTGGACAATGTGCAAGAGCAAGGAGAAGGAGTGCAAATCTATTTTAATGTAAGCATAGTCTTTCATCTTGAAATCACATCTAAAGATAAGGCTTGCTCCAAGTTACCTGACAAACATGATTACCTCTGCCTCAAACATAACAAAACATCTGTTCAAAGGAAAAATAGCTAATTGCTGGAGTTTCTAACATCCAATGGGCTGCAGAATTCTCAAGAATTGGAAGGGCAAATGACTGCTGAGCTGTAAGGATCTCATCACAGGCAACTTGTGAAGAGGCAGCTCTCTTGATGAGCTTAGTTTGAGTCCCTTTGAAATCATAGATGGGAACCTGTCCATTCTGTGTTAAAGTGGTTCCCAAAGAATCTGGTGGGCATTCAGAACTTGTTGAAGGTAAGCAACAGGATCAGCCAAGAAGGAGCAGAAGAGGAAACAGGAGTGAAGAGGAACATTCCTTTCTGGCAGCTGTGAGGTGCTGTGCAGTGCACCCCCACTGCACTCACAGAACCACGCTGTGTGCCTTCTAAGGTGCAAGGCATCTCATGAGCAATCCATGACACCTCCCTACAGCATGTGCAGCACGTGCCAGTCAGAAATACTAGGGGGCTTAACTCTAGAATTGTGCTTTGTACGTTAGGCAAAGAACAGGTGTCCCATGCCACATACAAGATATTGCAGGATCGCTCTGCCCTATGTGACGTGCTTTAAAATCAGAGCTCAAAACAGGAGTGAGATCTGAGTGAAGAAGCTGTGTCTAAGGATGCCTAGACTGTGCAATCTCTTAAAAGTAGTGGAGATGCTGTACCTAGAGAAAGTTGTTCACGGGACTGCTTTAGCATGTCATCGCTAAAAATGCTGCAATTGTGTGTGTGCTTTTAACCCAGGCTATTTTAATTTTGAGATGAAATTGCACATCATGTCTGAGTCAGTTTTTAAGAGCTTACACCACTGAAAGCAGAATCTTCCTCCTCCTCCTCTCCGCTTTGTTCACCAGATTGTCTTGCTTCCTCCTGCTGGTCAGAAAAGCACCAATTAAGACAAAGGCAGGAGGAAGCACACAGAAGTGGAACAAAAGTGGTGATGGGGAAATGGGACTGTGTCTTTTCACAGTGATAAACGGTCAGATCTGCTCAAGTTGCAATGTATAACTTCACACACAGCCCTCACGGAAAGAGGATTAAACCAAATAGTACTATCATGCATATGTCCTGGGCTGTGGCATGTAACATCTAATGCATGGTATTGTTAAAAAGTGTCCAAGCCATTAGTCTGCACTCCCTGCTTTTCCATGATACTGTTTATGGGAAACAGCCCAGAAAATTCATGGCCCAGATGGAGATCTGAGACTATGTGGACAAGTGACTAGGGAGTTTGACAGTGATTTGGGAAGTTAAATCAACTAGATGACAGCATCTCATGCACCAAAGGAAAATGTTATACAAAAATTTTAGCCTGGACTTGACCCTCTGAGATCAAAGACTGACAACTGAGACCAGGACCTATGCACATCAAGTTTACTTCAAGACATATAGAGTCCAGTACCCTGCTGCACGTGGAATAAATAACTGACAATAGTGTGGGCCATATTGTAAGATGGAGCAAGGAGAATTTACTGGGAATATCCTTATGGGATGTTGAGGCTTGTTTGGGGCCTTTTGGCATACCTGCTTTACAAAATTAGAAATCATAATCATTCGTACTAAGTTAATTAATAATAGTCTGATGCAGGCAATTATGTCAACATTAATGAGATAGACTATCATATAACTTTTGGGGAACTGCTGGAGGATGATCATAAGCTTGGTGTGCTGAATCATACCTATGTCATATAGATTGATTACTGTCAAACTGTCTTAAAAACAAGGCTTCTATCTTCCTGATTTTGTAGGATTTACTAGTGTTACCTTTTAAAAGTAGAAAGTTGAGAACTATCTAAGTGCTGTGTATCTTTAAATATCCTAATGGACACTTTCATTCCAGTATTATATTTTCACAGAATAGGTAAAAGCATACATTGATTTAAAATTTGATCGTAGTCTGGAAATTTCACTTGTGAACAGTGTTTTCTTTGTGAATTATTTAGTACAGTACTGTATTTCCTGGCATGCATCCAAGTAAACAAAAAATGTGTAAACAGAACTTTGAAATTAATTTGTCATTTATTATTATTCATCACAACATACAGAATGAATATCCTATTTATTTTTCATAACCTATGCTTTTTGCATAAAAAGCTAGGGTAATGGAGGAGTAATGAGTAAGGCACATGAGAATTACTTAAGTAAGTTCTTAATCTTTGCATTTATCAGGTAATACTTATCTTTTTTTTCCCCCTGGTGCACATCTATTTCTTAATGTTTGGAACAGGAACTTTTTTAAAAACCTGCATATATTCTTACTCTTTTGTTTTAGTATAGCTAATTATATATAAAGATTTGAATGTAATTTCATAAGCAGAAATCTTAAGTGAGGATGTGATGAATCAGGTGAATGGAGCTCAGTCTTTTTATTCAGGCAAGACATTATGGATGTGGGCATTAGCCTTTATTGGTCAAGTGATCAGGTGTCCTCATAGTATTTGTCCCCTGTTATCTGAATATACTTTTATGTGCTGTCACACATCCAGAATTACTACCTAGTTTGTAATCAGATGTACTGGGGCGTCAGTGATCTAATCTGGCCTCTGTGTGTCCCTTGTGGAAAGCACCTGGGTCATAGAACAGGCAGGGGACAGTTGTGGCAGGGAAGGAGCAGTGGGGACCTTGAGGAAAGACCGTGGCAAGAACCAGCTCTAGGCTAAGTTATTCTTATGGACCATCTGGAGTTAGATCACTAGAAATCGTTGTTATGTTCACACTGAGCAAAATACTGTCTGCTAGAGTTATTAATGCAAATATAGGCAAAACCCCCTTACATTCATCTAACAGTGTTGGAAGAGTTGTAGTTGCCAAATCCTTCTGTCTCTTAAGAGTCAGGTTGTGATTCCCTTATGCTGAGTAGCATTTCCCCATTTCAAGTAGTCCTATTAATATCAATGCAATAGATAGTCATATAAATATCTACACAATTAGCGAATAGCATTAGCCAAAGTTGGCAAAGAGAATAAATACTAAAAAATAATCTTGCACGCTTTTGCAATAGGTGGTCTTCTGGGTATAAGAATTGGGCCCTATTCCTCCAATCTGACTAGTAGCAGAAAAATCAAAATCCCTGTTAGATCAATTTAAGGAACGAGGAAAAGATGGCACCAGGTTGTTTACTGTTCTGTTTTTGAAACACGCTGAAGTTGTTTTAAAATTAGGAAGAAATCTCCCTAACAGCTACCTTTAAGCCTCAGCTGTATATTTGGAATATGCTATGCTATGCGTAGGAGAAAAAGCCTTTTAATAGCCTTTTTTAGGGGATTAAAGATTGGATTTTCCTGTAATATATAATGGAACTATGTGAATTATGCATGATTATTAGAATCTGAGAGAAGTTATCCTATAAAGCATAAAATCTTGTTTCTGTTCTTTCTTCAGCTATTATTGTGTACAGGTTGCCCTGGACCTGGAAGTGCAGCAAACTCCTAATGAAGTTCATACATGCTGGATTAAATACCATAGCTATGATTCTTGCAATTGTTTCTATGGTAGCCGTGTTTGAATACCACAATGCCAGGAACATTCCTAACATGTACAGTCTGCACAGCTGGATTGGGCTGGCTGCTGTTATATTTTATTCTCTCCAGGTCAGAATCTAACTGTATTTATAAACAGGCTGTAAATTTGAAGAATGTGTTGAGTAATTCAGGCACAATATGCTCTCACTAATACACTCTAACTACTGGGATACCCGTTTTACATTCTGTGATTTGGCAAATTGGCATGTAAACGTGCAAATACCGGACTTGTGACTTCAAAGAAAAATGTATTTTAAAGCATATTTTATTTATTTGCTGGGATAATGGCAGTTTGTTTACTATTAAGTTATACAGTAGGGTGTTTCTAAGCTCTATGAACTACTAAAGTTAAAGCAACTGACTTGGTTTGTTGGCAGCATATTTAAATACAGCTAAAGCTTTTATTAAGGAAGTCTCAAATGAAGTAATTGTTTTTCTTTTTTTCCAGCTATCATAATTTTAAGTAGTCACTTCTTGGCCTCAAGGCTTTTGTTTATCAGCAGAACAAGTGCAGCAGGGAGCAGTGCAGATCTAAAGGATCTGACGTCTGAACAAGCTACTACTGGCTAACTAGTTTTCCTGAATCAGCAAAACTTTGATAAATATTCATGTGCATGCTTTTAACTGCTCCTATTGGCAGAGAATTAGAGCTACCATAATCTAAAATGAGCTAACTTAGTATGTTTTGCATTTGGCATAGAAGAGCAGGGATACCTGACACGTAGTGTACACATACAGATGTGGTTTCTGCATATACATTCTGAATTCCCTATATTGTGTTATTACACTATGGAAATTTATTTTGTTCCTTCAAATTGTGATTCTTAATTTTTTTTTTGCCAAAACGCTAAAAAGAAAGCAATAAGACTTAATTATCTGGTGATTAAGCACAGAAAATCCCCAGATGAGGGATTTGGGTTCTGGACTTTTATCCTTCACTGCTCAGGCTAGGAGGTACAGGAAATAGAGTTGAAACAGTGTTTTTAACACTTAGAAAAAGGAAAGTGTATTGCAGCATTGTTGGGTGTATTCTTTATAGTTGAACAACAGCTAATGAATAAGAAAGAACAGTGTTAAGATTTTCCTTGTCTTAATAATGCAGTTATTTCAGGGAAATCTGTGTTGCCCCTATACCAAGTATCAGCAGTTTTTCTAATGGTTAAGATAAAGAATTGTGAATAACATCCTAATTCTACTTTTCATTTTGCTACTATAAACATGATCAATGGCACTTAATGCCTTGCCTGTCTCATCAATAGAACTGTGGTGTTAGTTCCTCCAAACTGGGATATAAGTGTCCAGTCAGAGAGACATGTTTGTTAAGTGATTGAGCACTATTGTTAAAAAATAGTCATAAAGTAGTATCTCTGTTAATAGAGAAGACACTTGGCATTTGCCAGAAATGGTATGTTAATCTCAGAATTGAAAAGTTATTGAGGGGAGATGCTCACATAATACTAAACCTACAGGAACAATAGTGTAAGTATATTGTACTTAAGGCAAATGTGTGTTAATACAATATAGGACAAGGACATAAATTTAAGAATAGGGCAGAAATGCAAAATGGAGGCTGTCTCTTGGAAAGCAATGATTCTGGAAAGAAATGCTGAAAGACGACATGAAGCTCAAAATCAGGTCTCACAATGCTGTGACAACAGGAAAAGTAAATTCTCTAATAGGAGATTATCTTAACCTCCATATATGGCATTGGTGAAACTAATATGAAATATTATGGAATAAATTTTTTTAAATGTAAAAAAAAAAAAAAGAATCTGGAAAAGTAATTTGAGAGCTGGAAAAACTATCTTCCAGTGAAAGATTTAAAAAGCTCCAACTGTTTAGCAGATCTAAAGAAGATTAAGAGATGACTTGATTACGGTGTATTAAAAAGCTTCCCAGGGAGAAAATACCAGGCTTTTTAATACAGCATGGAAAGACGAAACAAGGACTAAGACTGGAAGTTAAAGCAAGATGAAATACAAATTCATGCACTATTTCTGATTTAGCAGCAGGAGTGAGTAACGGTAGAACAAACTAAAGAAGAGATGCAACCTCAGTATGACTGGGCAAAGCTGTGACTGAAACCATGTGATATGATGGGTTATCGTCCATCACAAAATTAGTGCTACTGGGAGGACTTATGTCCCCTGAATAACTTCACGCCACCCACACACATCTTCACTCTGTAAATGCCAACTGATTGATATATTGAGATATAGACCATTGCCCTTCTAAAGACATGTGCTTTAATTTAACCAAAACTCTAACAAGGTAAAATTATCTAGTCCACTCAAGTCAGAAGGTTAGACTGCCTTCTGATCTTCATCTATGTGTAAACAGAAGTAGAGTACTTGAAGAGACTGTAAAAATGTAGCTACTCACACCTTTAATATATTACTGAATTAGTGACACTGAAAACTTGTGTTTCCAGTACTTAATTTGGTTGCAGTTTTAGCATTACCAGTAAGTTTGGGCACTGATGTTAGGTGGGCTTGTTTATAAAATATTTCATGTCTGCTTCCCAGGTGCTAATCCAGAATAATTGCTTTGGTTTTGAAGATAAACACATTCCCAAATAAAAATGACAACTGTTTTCAAATTTGTACCTGAAGACATCTCAAAATTGAATTTTTATGATGATTTTTATTCTGCTTGAGAAGTGCAGCTTGTTTCCCATACAGCTTTAACTATGAATCTGTTTTGTGTTTAGCTTTTCTTGGGTTTCGCTGTCTTTCTGCTCCCTTTTGCTCCAGTTCCTCTCCGAGCAGCTCTCATGCCAATACATGTTTATTCGGGTCTTACCATCTTTGCAACAGTGATTGCAACAGCTCTCATGGGAATCACAGAAAAGCTTATATTTTCATTGTAAGTATTTTTTTTCACTTGTTTATTAAGGTTATTTATTGCAAACTGTACTTCCATTTGCACAGAATAATAACCATCTAGTATTGGGACAGTTTTGTTTTGTTTTGTTTTAAAAAGACCTCCTACCTAGAAGGACACTGCTGTTTTCAGACCTGGATTGTCTTTAAAACAACTGACTTTTTTTTTTTCCCCTTCCAAAGGAAAAATCCTGCATATAGTGCATCCCCGCCAGAGGCAACTTTTGTCAACTGTCTTGGTCTTTTGCTTGTCATATTTGGTGCACTTATTTTGTGGATGGCAAGCAGGGCCCATTGGAAGCGCCCCCCAGAAGAGAATGCTAAAGTTCTGCGGCCCATTGGAGGGACTCCTGAAGGCACAGAAGCGGAATCCACAATGACAGATGGCAGTAATGCAGATAAATCTGATCTGAGGATCAATAGTGAAGCAGCCAGAAAACAAAACCTCAAACTTGATGAAGCAGGCCAACGATCAACTATGTAAAGAAAATACACAGAATAAAAGTACTATTATACTGCCAACCCACCCCAGTTCCTTCCAATGTAGTTATATTGATATATAAATAGGCTGGGGTTTTATTTTCAGTATGGCTTGCTCAAAGATACTCAAGTTTTCTGCATATGAATTTAAATTCCAGTAAGTCCCAAACATATTATATTGGTTCATGCTCAGTCCTCATTTAAGAAATGAGAGTGCGAATGACATCACATAATGGGAAAATCACATAATTGGAAAATGTTATCACTTCTTAATTTAATGCTTATATCTCTTATAGACATGAAAAGTTAACAACATTCAGACTAAATTTTGCTCTGAGTGATTTTGCAGGTTATGAATCAGAGTCATGAAGTTTACCAGAGAGCAGAATTTAGTTGGTCACACATAATTTTTCTGGATGTTCACTTTTTTAAAGGCCTGATTAACCCCCTCACCAGCTGCTAAGATCTATGGGATTTGAGGTCATTCAGCACTTTGCAGAGTTGCACCATAAACATGTTCAGACTAAAATTTTGAATTCAAAAAAAGAAATGAAAGTTTGCCTAAAATCTTCATTAAATGTTATGTTTCCTTTAAAAACTTTTTTTTTTTTAATCAGAACGTATCTGTTGATTTTTTAACCAAGTCTACCAAATATATTGTATGTAGACAACATTTGGCTTTGGATTATGTGCGGTCATTACTGAAATCTAAGGATACTGTAAGATATCCAACAGAATTTGTCGTCTTATTTGGAAAGCTATGGATACACACTTAGAAGAATACGCATCACTTAAACCAAGTCTTCCTTTTATCCCAGAAGGCAGCATTTTACTATCTGTATTTGATTGCACGGTTCTATTGATTTATGGCACTAGACTAGAAATTAGGAGGTTAGAAACCAGAGAAGACTGCTAGCAGTCTCACAGAAGAAAGGAGCTTGAAGTGAGAAATGCTTCCTCCAAGAAACAGCTGAGCTTTGCTGATTTCATTAAAACACTACCCGTTCACTGAAAGCCATTTTTGGTATCTCCACACTGGTGTCAGAATCATTATTGTCATGGGCATGAAGACATACTTTAGCCTATAAACGCACTATATAAACTCTATGACTTTTTAATTTGAAATTAAAGTGTTAAATAATGCAGTTTGAGTCTCTACTGGCACTTTTATAGCTCTTTCTAGTAATCGGAGTATTAATGTATTATGCTCATTCATTATTTTCACAGATATAAACAATACATACATTTTTTACTACTATAGAAGAGTAATTATAGAAGATTATTTTGATTACACATGTCCAACATTATGAGCCTTTCTATTATAAACTCTTGTAAAAGCTGCAGAGCCCACTACAAGTCCAAATTTACCACTGTTTGTGTTGCCATATAGCTAGTTTCAGACAGCATATAATTTCCTGTTTTTTTAAAGACTACATACATTTTTATCTACTTCAGCTTTTTAAGATGTTTAAACACATTAAACTTCAGCAAATATGCAATTTTTGTAGTTCGGTGTTGTGTTAGTACAATTTTGGTCACGAGTTATTTTGGATCTTCTCTGACAAGAAGCACCTCAGTTCCTATTATTTGATTTGTAATAACATTTAATTATTTGGTGAATGCAGTATAGAAAGCTAGCATAATAAATTATTTGGAAAACTTTTCTGCTGTACCATTTGGTATTCAAGGACTGCATCCCAGAGTTCTATGTTTTCACTTACATAGGTTTGTGGATGACTGAGGCCCACCTAGCATTGCTGTATTGTTTAATTTGAGAAAATACCTGCTTTTAAATGCCTTAGTGTAGAATTCAGGTATGACAGAAGGAATACTATCCTATTGTGTGAGCACTCCTCTAGTAGCAGTGTGTGCAATGGATTGGGCAGCTTTTTCCCTCGTTTTCGAGTTCCACAGAATTATCTGTCTTCTTTAAAATTGTTCCGCACAGCTTCAGTATAAAATCCCAATGGTACCGATAACAGCTTTCTGCGAGAAAAACGAGCACTTGTTTTACATTAGTGTTCAACTGACATGACGTGATTATGTTATGCATCGTATTACAAATTTATATATTGAACATGAAGTAGGAAGAGGAATTCTTAGTAGCTTCTGGAGAACACTAAACTGTGCTGTCTTCAGATCTTGTTACATTCTGCTCAACAAGTCTGCTTTTTTGGTGGAATCCGTAAGCATCTTACAGGTGGATGTATGGTGGATGTACAGGTGGATGTACTGGTGGATGCATGTTTAGTCTTTGTGAGAGATGCTCTATTAACACTTTTGAAGTATAACAGGTGAAGTGAATAAATGAACTCAACTGTTCTAGTAATTTACTATGCTAGCTTTCTCTACTGCACTCACACAGGCAACAGCATTTCAAGTTGGTAGGTATTGGCCTGTTACAGTGTCTCATCCACCTGTGAAAATCAGCTCATTCAATCCTTGCATAGTACTAAGTCATCTAATAAAAGCGTGTCTTTGTGTGGAAGGTAGTCGCTTGTCTAAGGATTGTTCTGGAAGAAACTCTAACTGTACAGTATATTTGGAAAAAAACCCACAAAATCTGTTATTTCTTTTGTTACAACACTGACTTGGATGTATGGAAATCAACAGCTTTTAGGTGAATGGTTCTATATGCTGTTAAAGTTAAGCTATAGTAACTAGTACACCTTCTGTTTTCCATTTTATTCCATGTACTGTTCAAGAGTAATGATACTTGAAAAAGAATGGTGGCATTTCTCTACTTCTCTATTCTGATGATATAAAACTAATTGAAAATCAAGGATTAGCAATGTTTTGAGGGTAGTCTGCCAGACTATGTTTTTGGTTTTCAACTTTGAGGTTAAATGTGATAGTATAAACTCAGTGGGAGCTGGAAGATTCCATTCTGGGAAATTTTCATAATCAGTGATATCTCATGGGTATGAATTGTGGGCTTCTGGCTGCTTTGGTCTTTGGAAGGTCCCCGTGAGATGCAGTAGCTGTGAGCTCCTAAACCTTGCTTAACCTTGGTGTGTGCAATTTAAAACAGACTCAACATGATACAGACATTTGGCTTCTGTTCTAAACTGATTAAAAAGGTCCTTGCAACGTATGAGGTTAGTTCAAGTGCTAAATAAAAATACATAGGACTTTGGACAGTAATTTTCTCTGGAACAAAACATATTCCTAAAGCTGCTTCTCAAAGTGGCCTTTTATTAACTTTCCTTTCATGCAACTTTTCTTACCTGTATTTATGTGTAATAGCTGCAACACGGGAAATAAAAAGGTATATTTTCAAAGATAGAAATGGAAGGTAGAACTGTAGCTTTTTTATCAGAATTTTTGGAAATAATCTACATTGTTGTTTTCATAGGGACATGATTGTAGAGCTTACATTCCAAATTTGGATTCCTATAAAAACATAGGAAGTTACAAAACCTAACATTAAAAGTGCTATTTTTTTAAGATGCCTGAAAAAAAGTATTTTTTTAATGTATTTACATGCTGTCATGCAGTACTGCGCACAGAAGCAGAACAGTGTTTTTTCCAATACTAATGAAACTGAGAAATGCAAATTAGATTTTAAAATTGAATGTACAGTAATTACATGTACACTTCTTACTACATGTAACCAAAAGATTGCATATGATATTGTAAATATGGATTACTTGTTTACACGGATATTTTATTGAGAGACTAAAAGATATTGCCAAATATTTTCTATTTCAGAAGACTCTTCCTTTTGCTTCTATTTCAGAAAATTCCTTCCTCTAACTGTTCACAAGAACTTAAAGATTTATTTTATTGTTTTGTTACTCGCGGTACTTACTTGTAGATGAAAGCAAATGTTTAATTACAATGTCTATTTTCCTTCTTTTTTGTATGTTAATAAAAATGATTTTTCAAGCTTATGATACCACTGAGTACAAATTTATATTATGGTACTAAAATGCAACTTTCTAAATTTGGCAAAAGATCAAATTGTTCTTATGATTACTTTTTTGAAAACAGGAGGATAGTTGTACGAAATTTCTTAAATTTAATTCCAAGTATTCCCGATCATTTTCCTGATGAAATTTATCTACTCTGTAGTGTTAGAAGGATAATCGGTATATAATGGAAAGTGAAGGAATTCACTGTATAAAGAAAGAATCTGTGTTTCACCTTCTGATCATAACCTAAATTCCCCATAGCAGTTGTTAGAGGTGGGGAAAAAACCCCAAAACTATTCTCAGTCATGAGATTTCCATAACAAATAAGGGAAGATCATAAAATCTGCTGTATGTCAGTCACATAATGAGCTGTAAGATCCAAATACCCTCACATAAATAACAGCCAAACTGAATCCAGAGCAAAAGTTTTGGCCCCAGGGAATCTTCTGACCCAGATTTAACATCTGCACATCAGGTTACTCATCAATAGGTTATTGATCATAAAATGCTATAAATGGCAAAACCACTATATGAATGTATCTATAACACGAATTAAGGTATGTTCTTGAGCTCACTAAGATTAATTGGAAACTCTTCTAAAAGTGTAAAGCATAAACTGATTATTCCTGAATATCATACAGCGGTTGGCTAAAACTTTCCAACATCATCATCATCACGGAAGAGTTAAAAATACCGTTAGAATCATCAGGATAGCAGAAAATTTGTTGTATTCAAACCTGACAATTCCCTATTGCTGATAACTTCCCTTAACTGTCTCCTGTAGGCTGGCTTTTTTGGGGAAAGTTCTGGTAAAGTAGTCCATATTTTTTCAATATGTTGATTATTACAAAATTCAATAAAAGCTCAATTGTATTCACACTTGAGGGGACTCAAAATTTTGGCAGGAGGACTGCATTTGTGTGGAGAAGTGCTTTTTGTAAGTTGATGGATCCCTTGTAACATATACAGATTTTTGCATTACGTTACGGTATGAGCAACACTTTTCATCTCTGTAAGACTAGTGGGCAGTAATGAAGGGTAATTATTATACAGAAAAAGAACTGAAGTCCAGGTCAAAAAAATGGATGACAACCATTCCAAGTGGTGCGGCTAACAGAAGACAGGAGGTAAAGTTGAGAAAATCCAGTTAGTATGGTACACATATCAGAACTTTTGTTGTAACAAAAATGACAAGGCCACAGCTAACTC